TGTTATTGGGAAACTCATATTTTTTCTCTTTTTGGAATGGGAATATATAAACTCTTCCCATTTTTCTCTCAAAAAATTGCAAATCCTAGAATGCGTTTTCACGTTTGTAAATCAGAAGTTACGAACAATAAGTTGAGATGAAATTTTAACACGCACGATATAATCTATTTTTCAGGCCAAACATTGAAGAATTATTATGTGTCATATAGTAAATTTGATTTCGCCAAATTACTTCATGAAACAAACTTAAGAGAGGGTAAAGAAATGTCACTCGGTGAAAAACATGATTAGTTGCCAAAAGTGTCGTTTTCCATTTTTTGAATACTAATTCGTTATCGTACGTAGTCTTAGATGAGGGCAAAATCGTGCAAAGAAAAAAAATAATGTTATGACAAGGTCCTCTCCTTCTCCACATGTTTCGGAGGAGTACGTATAAAATGATTAACTCAAATTTCATGCAACGTTTTGTACTTTGTAGGGCCTTAATTTGAAGCCACAATAACCTTGAAACTTTTTGGACCGACACATTGTTGTCCGAATTTCCATTGAGATGGTTAGCCATTGCATAATATGCATGGTTGTAGGAATTAATATAGTCGTACGTTTATTTTTGGTGCAATCACAACGGACGCTAAACTTATTTTTTACAATTCAATCAATGTGTAGAGTTGGAGGGCGCTAAACGGAACAGTGCAAGTAAACTACAATTTTTGGCTAACTTTTATGACATGTGACCCCTTATTAGTGGTGGTCCATTACAGAGGTTTAAAACTCAAGAAATAAAACAAATGAAAAAAAGGAGTTTGGGACTCAAAAGAACCGTGTAACCATTGTGAAAAAAGAAAATTAAGGTGGAAATAACATAGAAAAATTTGATGTGACGCTTACAAATTCAGTCAAAATGGGCTTACCATTGTCTTTGCTCTTATGTTGTCGGCAAAATTATTACTTTAATAAATTTCGTTGTAAATCAAGCAAGTGCTTTTGAAACTTTATTTCAATAGTAATGACTGTTATATGCTCATATCAGATTTAAACTTAGTGATAATTTCATTACCTTACCGATGGAATACAAACCAACTTTCGAAACAGAGCCAAAAAAGTCATCGATCTTTCGACGAATCACATACTATTATGATTAATTAGATCACATTTTATATTTTGAACTATTACCGAAATTTGTCCAACATATTGAAAACAGAAAACACGATAGCATTGGCATCGCCCTCCCTCTTATGAAAGTATTAATTTATTTCAAAACTAGAATGATTTAACAACCAAACCCAACTGAGTAAATATGCGACGACTCTTTTTTTTTTACAATCAAATTAAGATTACGGTACTATTTGTGTTTAATGTCACTATAAATGGGAAGAAGTACAAGACTCCTACTACTACAAGTCTACAAGTGGATGAGAAAATGAAAGCTATGTGTAGGAATAGAATGGAAGAAATTAATGCACGCAGGCTTGCTGCAAAATTGAGGATACACAACATGAATTTGTCCTCAACAAACTGATAAGTTACATGTGAGAGATGACCCTTAATTTTCAAGAGATGAAAATAAGATATCGTCTTTTAAGAGTAAGAGTGATTTATTATTAGTGTCGTTTTTTTTTTCCCAAAAGAAGTATCGTGGTATGTCTTATTCTCTTTTTTTTTTTTTTTTAAGCAAAAACTTGGAGTGGTTCTGTTTCACGTTAGGATGTCATGATGTTGGGAAAATTTTGTATTGAAATGTCATATATTGTGATACATATTTTTACGAGTACCAATTTTGGTTCTAAATGAACATGTTTGTTTTTTTTTTTAAGGTAATTTAACTATAACATTTTTTTTTCTTTGTTATAATGATAGAGGCTAATGCCTAACTAACACATTTATAAAATATAATCTTCAATGGTGCCATTTCATCAGGCCTCTGTAATTAATTAGGACGCTTTTAAGTAATTAGCCGTCCTGTTCCAAATCAACATTCATATTATTCCTATGACAACATAATTTTCATAATTATTTTACGTACCGCTTTATAATTGTCATCCATACCAATCAATTAACCAATGCCGATCATGCGAAGCAAGACAACAAACTTCTCCATTAGCAAGGTGGCGTATGTATAAAGGATAAATTGGAAAAAGAAAAAGAGAAGAGGGCAGGACCAATACCTGAAAATGAAAAGGAACTTTGAAACCCTTCACAATTCAATGAAAATGCATACAAAATTAATTAATTAATTTTATTTTTTTTTGGAGTATTGCTATTTATTATTATTGGAAGTACATTTCATTAATGAAGTACGTACATATAGGGTGTGTGTCCACTTCAGGAAGTTTGTGGGTGGGAGTGGAGAGGGATATATTCCAAAACAATAACGTCCAATTACGAAAATACGAACAGTCGAACATCGAATTTTCTTATCGTCTCTGTCAATTCTGATAAGTGACTCTTGGCATGCATGAGTTGAACTGTAGAAATGTAGAATCGCAGGACCCAGCCTGTAAGAAAATGGTACTTTCCTTTCCTATTATTTATTGTTTATTATTATAAGACATTTTGATTTTTTTTCTCATTTAAAAGAATACGACAAATAAAACTTAAATAGAAATTAAAATGTTTAATTTAAGGTCTATTTTTTTTATAAATGTGTAGTAAATGGAATAGTAAGTGAGCAACATACGTGTAAAGATATAATTCCTTATCTTCTTATGTGTCCGTTTGTCTCATCTCATTTCGTTTGAACTAGTTAAAAAATTTAATTATTGATAATTGAAAAAATAAAAATGTTCAAATTGTAGTTTTGTAATAAGTATTAGTGTTAATTGATAAATATTAATTCGACAAATGCTCATGAACATGTCTGGAGTCAGGACGCCCCAATTTTTCGTCAAATTAAGGCTGCCATCAAATTAGTAACCACAAATCCAAAATGCGCTTTTTTCCACAATAGAGCTACCAACGGAAAATTGGAACGTGAAAAATCATTAAAAAACAAAATTGAACATCATCCCACAACAAAATTCTTTTGTTTCCAAAATGGTTTCCATTTTTATATTCAATGTACTAAAAAAGAACTTTGGAGTTTGGACAAATAATGTAACCATTTTGATTTCAAATTTTTTTTTTTTTCCATATTTGTAGGGTGTTCACCATCGACAACAGTGACTAATCTCCCTTGTTCAATTGTAGGCACCTCGATGGGTGGGACAGGTACTCAAAATATTTAAAGTTACTCCATATCTATGGCCATATTCGAACCCTCGACCTATAGTTAAGGGAGTAGAATGTCACTCCACCACAGCCAGTTTGGTTCATTTTGATTTCAATTTAGTAGCAATGATTTTGATCAAAATTCAACTGAAAGTCAATCAACTTTTTCAAGAAGAACCCACAGGGCACAGCTCCATAGACTCCAAGGCTTCCCATCAGTGAAAGATTCATAATGGTCCAATCACTTTTTTGGGTCTAAATTGACGGCCCAAATTTGTATCTAGTCTAGTGGTGGAGTTACTGGAGATACATCATGGATTTTTAGGACTTGGCTATTTTATCACGCAACCATTAGATATTTTATTTACATTTTTAGAATTATCATGACATCTACACTATCATTATTGCAACAGGAGTTTTTAGTTAAGAGAATTCTTTTGTCTGTTTTTTCTTTCTAGGTGAATGAAATAGAAATTGGCAGCTGGTTTGCTTACCATTTCATCGGAATTACTCCACTTACTACAATGGAACTATTGCTATTCTTTTTTTTTTTAATTCTAATCATGTAAGAGCATCTTCAGTGTCGTATTATTTGTTGCAGCTCAAAACATCAAATTTGTTATTTTGTTACCTGTTACAGTGTTGTCTTGTCCAACCTACAACATTATTTTTTACACAACAAGGAATATTCTTAATATATTCATTTTTACTATAATATTTTATCAATTTACAAAAGAAGCCAATTCGATTAATTATATTATATAATAACTCAATTCAGTATTTTATTTAATTTTTTAATAAGTGTGCTTATGTATATTTGGGTTGCTGAACTTTGTTTTACTTTTCGGTAATTTGGTTATTGTAATAATGATGTATTTGTATTTTATTTACTTTAAGATTATTTTAGTACAACTATCTTTATTTTTGTTCCAGTTTCACATATCCATTAATTACTCCTTATAACTGAATAATAACATAAGCTCTTGAATAATAAAATTGAATTAAATTGAAAATTTTCATTAAAATTTATAAAATTTATTGACATTAACAATAACAATAAGTACAAGGGCTTATAAATAAATTTAAAAGTAAACAAAAAAAGAAAAAAGGGGAGGGGGTGGGCCGCATCCATTTGCTGTTGCTACATAACGCAGCAAATCTGAAGTGTTACTGTAGCAGCATAAGCAAATTGTTTTCCCGATTTGATGTTTTGCTGCAACGCTCACGCTGGAAATGCTCTAAATACGTTTGATCATGAGCATGCCATTCATTTAACATGGAATAAAGAACATCAAAAGTTCCTAAAGAAAAGGTACTTCACCTAATGATATAAGAATACTTATAATCAGTCTCGTGCGTATTTGGCCATTTGCAGGTGCCGAGGCTTGATATATTCCCCCTTTCTTACAAGCTTCGAAGTTTGAATTATTCAAAGTATATTACTCTGGTAAATTTGGTTAAAAAGGTATTAGAAAAAAATGAAAAAAGAAATATCTATCTACTACTCCAGTACTCCTATTATACACTGATAAAGGGAGAGGAGCCAAATCTACTGAATTTCGTCGTAGTACCTTCAGATATGATTTTTAAAGACTGCAAACTTTTGGCATTTGTCAACTATTCAACTCAATTAAGTGTCTTTAAATTCAAGCTCATCTGTACATTTCCAGTTCTTTCAAAATACACTATTTCTACTGTCTAAACTCTAAAGTCTTTAAGAAATTTCTAGGTAAATTATATATATGTATTGACAGAAAATAAAATGCAGTTTGAACGTCACTTTTATGTCATATATTCTACACGAAAGTAAGGGGAAAATGGGCTCATGATTTGTTGTTCTGCACTAGAGTTAATTAAGAGTATCAAAGTGTATGCCACTAAACTTTAGGGGAAAATAATTAAAAATAATAAAGTTGAGGGCCAAAATATAATTCCTATAAAAAATTTGCCTGGTATAACAGTCTCGGGCCTTCTAAACTGCGGATAATGATCCAGATCCGTTACCCGATTTCTCACTAAACCCCTAGTTTTTCCCTTCGAACTTACGCTGCCGGTGAAGAAGAAGCTGCGATGGCGGTAAGCTTCTCATCACAAAGTTCTAATGTTTCAATTTTCGTCTTTGTTGTTTTTATTCTCGTTTGGTGGCTTTTCGTTCGCTATTTATCTTGGAGGAAAATCCTTTTGAAAGTTCTGCAATTCGAAGCTAGGGTTTTGTTTATGCCTGTCCAGTCTGGGAGGATTTTGTTTATGGAAAAGCTGGTACCGCATTGTGATCGGAGCAAAAATTTATTCTCTGTTTTAGCTAAATTTTATGTGCTGAAGCAATTATCGTCATCACGTATTTAGGGTTTTACTTGAAACCATTCGTTCACTGAAACCTTAACTGTTTTTGTTTGATTTGAAGTGATCTGTGTTTGTCAATCTGTGCTGGAATCCTAATTTTGTATTTGTGGGCATTATCATTGCAGACAGTCCCGGTTAATCCTAAGCCTTTCTTGAATAATCTCACTGGAAAGCCTGTCATGGTAAAGCTGAAATGGGGGATGGAATACAAAGGTAAGCCTATAGTTTGTTTGGTGATTTGAATTTTTGGCCATTTTTTATCTAACTAAGCTGTTTTCGGAAACAGTTTAACACTTATTGTTCCTGCTATCTTTTCAGGTTACCTTGTTTCTGTGGACTCCTACATGAACTTGCAGGTACTGTAGTTTGCAATTTTTTTGCTGCTTTCTGTTCTAGTTTGTGTTTGAACAAAGTAGTCAATTTTCAGTTGTATAGATTTAAGAATCACCCCCAAGTTATTTTCCAGTTTCTGAGGATTAATTCTGTTCTTCTGTTTTTTTCTTACTTTGCATTAGCTTGCGAATGCTGAGGAGTATGTTGATGGGGAAAGTAAGGGAAACCTTGGAGAGATCTTAATCAGGTTACTTCTACATGCTGATAGTCTTTACTGTTTATTTAGTATTCAATTTGTAAAACTTTAGAGCTTATCTTCTGATCGTTGTCTCCCTGAATCTGTGTCTGTTTTGGAAGTTTATCAAGTTGGAAGTTTTCATCTTGATGCCGCATTAAATTATTTTTTGTTCATCATTTGATTACTAATTGTAAAGTATCAAGTTATGGTATTTACCATAATGTGCTGATCTATCAATGAAAGGTACTTTATCTTGTTAGTAATGTGGCAGTCGCGTCTTCTTTGGGGTCTGAACTTTGTTGTCGTAGTTAGCATGCAATAATTCTTTTCTTTTACCATGACGACCCCTGGTTTCACTCCCGCCTCTTGCTCCATCTTTTAGCTGGTAATTAAAGTACTTTGGGAATGAGGGTAAAATCTGATGGACTCTACGTTTGTGGTGCTGTGCAGATGTAACAATGTCCTCTATCTTCGCGGTGTTCCGGAAGATGAAGATGTCCCGGATGCTGATTAAGGCCAGTGGAAAAGGTCATGATACTGGCGTATCATCTGGTGTTTTTATAAGTATTTAGGAATGTGTAATGAATGAAATGGTATCACTTCCAGAATTTCGTTGTTTCTTGACTGGCGCATCTTGTGATGTAGGAATTTGTAATGAATGAAATGGTAGCACTTCCAGAATTTTGTGTTTCTTAACTGACGTAGCTTATGATGTTTGTTGTCGTGTTCTACTGCTTGATTTGCATGCATAAAGCGTCTACGTGGCTCGTTTATGATGTGCTTTCTTTGTGTGAATCATACTTCATTTTGTCCTGGCTAATTACTGTTTACTGGCTATTCCGTGCTTCCTCTTTTTTTTATTGGAGGCTTGATTACTTGCCCATTTTTCTATATAATTTGAATACGGAGGTGAAAAATGGTGCTTTCATCAAGTGTTGAACGTGTTTGCAAGAATGCGCAAGTAAAAATCAAGTATCTTAGAACACTCTGGCTTCTCTTGTGAAGCTGAGGAGTGTTCGAGTTTCTGCATTCCTAGGATTCGAATCAGTGTTCACTTTTCAGTTCTTATCGTATCTGATTAGAATAAAATGTGAGTTGATTCCCATCTGTGGTTTATCTTTTCAAATAATTTTGCTTTCATATAGTATCAGACGTTACCTCAGACCCAACTTGATGGGAATATATGCTAGGCGTGTTGATGTTGATAGTATCAGATGTTAGCTGTCCTGTTTATTCTATTGTTCTACTCTTGCTCTTTCACGTCCTTTTTTCAATCCTTTTGGAGCACTTTGTAACTTGTTGACCATTACCTACGCTTGATTTTTGAAAAAGAAAAATTAAAGATTTCAAATTAGATATTTGGTATTTTGGCTATCAGCAGTTTTGTTGCTTACCTCGTAAGCATCTCGGAGTGAATAAGCTAGGCATAAGGTGATCTTGTTGAGTTCTTTCCAGTAGCTTCTTGCTTCATCTGGAAAACAGTTGAGACTTGGTCCTCTCAATCCTGATGAGTATGGGTGATGGTTCCATGTTTAGTCAAAGAAGATAGTGAGGGTTTGAGAAACTTTGTGCACGGTGCTTTTGTTTCGTAACTTATTTGGATTTACTAGTTGACGTTTAGGTTAATTGTGAGATATGAAAAAAGAGGAACTATGGTAGCTAGTTTTGTACTTCGATACATGTGTTGATAGTATATTGGATGACCTTGAGAGGGCCATTGATTATAGTGTTTACGCCTACATCTCTTGCATGTTATTTATTGCAGTTATCTCTTTGCATATATTCTCATGAATCTCTTACTGGTATGTGGGGTGTGATTGCATTCTTGTATGCTTGGACAGTCATCCATACCTGGACCAGCATCTAGTCTTTGAGATCGAAATCAAATGAAGACTGAATGAGTTTTCTTTCAAACAAGCATATTTTAGCGTGTTATCCTGCACAGCTGCAGTAAGCAAAATATTGTTTCCACCAAAGGCAGATTCAGGGCCTCAAATTAGCCTGAATCAGATGTGTGTTGCAAATTTAGTCGATGTCACTGTAGAGTGTAGAGCATGTTAATAGGTTGTAGGTTCCTACAGCATATGTATGGCTCCTGGGCTTCAGTCGTCTAACTCCACTGGTTTTCGGTCCAACTCTTTAACAACGCTGAATAGTAAGCTCGGACAAGTGATTTATGTCTTGTTTAGGCCCCTCGAAAACCATTTGATCATGGACATTCAAAGCCTGGAAAGATCACTTGGCAAGTTACTGAGTACTGTATGATTGTTGCAAAAGCTGCTTTCTGTGAGACCGTACGGTATAAAGAAAATAAAAATGTAACAATAACCAGACATGGTGGAAGCAAAATTAATCTACGACTCAAAGGCATTCATACTTTTATTTTACCTTAAGAACTGAATTGTGATAGTTGTAAAGTTATAACATTGCATTCTTCTCATATCCGCATTGTTAAGATTTCCCCCCGAATAGATGTGTGCCAAAATGCCAACAAATGTGGTGTATAATTTATATGTTAGCTGCATTGGAGAGGAAATTCAGCCAGATCGAAAGTAAAACGGTGAAACCCAATTTTAACCCAGGTAAAGTTGACTTACCCATCCAATTCTAAGTTGACATAATCCTTACAAAAAGTTTAAAACCCCTCATTTTCTTCCTTCGTTTCTTCTTTTTCTTCTTTTCTCCTCCCGGTTCTCGCTCTTTAATAACCGTCACCACCGCCGCCGTCGATGGCACAATGCAGTAACTGCGTCTCTAACAAGAGACGATCCCCTTCTGATTTGTATGCTCAACATCCCTCTTCCAAGAGGGCCGCCCTGGAGCTTCCATCTTCCTCCGCCAGTTCCTCCGGCGAACAACTCCTCCAGAATGGCTACACTATAATGCCCACCAAGAATCTCTACGATCAATTCTCAGATGGTGCTTTGCCCAATTCTTTGATCAACAATCCCTTTCAAGAGCAGAATTCTGGGGTCGATTCTCTGCCAATTCCGGCACAACCTTCTCAACAACCCCTTTATCGTACGTATTCTGAACCCATTCCTGAAGCTTACCAGGTGGTGGCGACCGCCGCTTCTCCGAGGCCTCCGGCAGCTGGGAAATTTACGTCTCCGCCTGGCCTTCTAAAGCAAGAAAGTCCCGGTACAAAGGTTGGTTCTTGGTTCTTGATAATTTGTATGATTGTAAAAATTTCTGTGATTCTCAACCCAAGGTTTCCCTTCTTTTCTTCCCAATTAATCTTGTTTTGTTCTTAATCTTGCAGAGGTTCAGAAGAATGAAGAGGAGACTCAGAGAAATGAGCAAATGGTGGGATGAGGTCATAAAGGAAGATGAAGAGGAAGAAGACGCTGTTGTCTCTGAAAATAAGGATCAATGTCCACCGAAGGTAATCGAATCATAGCATGATCCATTTTAAAATTAAATTCGTTTCTTTAGTGCAATTTGAATTTCTTGAATCTATTTGCCATTGATTGGAAGTGTTCTGTTTCTCTGTTCTTTCCTTTTCTTTTTGGAGTCTTTTTTTTTTTTGGAAATTCTTGAGTGAATTGTTTTTTGTTCGTTTTTGATGATTGAACAGGATGATTGTGATTGTGTAGCGAGTCAAGGGAGTGAAAGTGAAGAAGCATGTCATGATGATCAGGAAGCTGTGTGGGTGGAGAGGAAAGGGGAGGTTCTGATTCTGCATTTCCAGTGTCCCTGCAGCAAAGGCTATCAGATTCTTCTCTCTCAGAATAGTTGCTACTACAAGCTCTCGTCTTTCTGATCTCAGAATGCATGTTATGATCACCACTGTGTTATTCAAGCTCATCTAGCTAGCTGCTACCACAAGCTCTATCTTCTCTGAGTTCTAGTACTTTAGATAGTGGTTCCTAGAATTAGTACTTCATTTACTGCACATAGTCCATTCAAAGTAGTCTTGTTTGTGTGTTGTTTGCATTCAGATTGTGTTTCTTGAAGTAAAGCAGAAATAGATGAGGGCTGTGTAGTTATTTTCACTCTTCAAGGGATATTCCTGTTGTAAAGTTGCAATGCTACTGACCAAATCTGTTCCTACCGACTACTAGTCAGCTGATAATGCAAAAATTTCAAGGTTTTTTTTTTTTTTGGTTTTTGTCTAGCGTCTTTTACTGCATTTGCTTTCCACCAAAAGGGAAAGTTAGATGAGGAAATAAAAGAAGATGATGGTGTAACAGCGCCTGAGGGGAAGGCGGTGGAGAAGTAGCCGACTGTGAGATGGGTGGTGGCGATTGGTGAAGGGAAAGGGAGGCAATAGCTGGTGGTGGATTTCAAGGTTGAGAAATGCAAAAACAAAAGAAAAGCAGGGATCCGAAACTGCAGAGGAATGCTGAAAGAGTGAAAGATCTTCTGCAAGTACGTGGTTCACAAAGGGAATTCCAGAAATGTGAAAGCTGAATCACTGGGAAAATCTTTTGATTTCTGGCTAATGAGGCAAGCTCAAGAATTTTTTCACTTTTCTTAATGGATGATTGGGCTTCTTTCCTTTTAAGGACAGACATTCAGTTGTTTTGGTCTGAAGAATCAGCTTAAGACGTTTGAGCAGTGACTCCATAATCTGCAATTTCCTTTTCCATCGTTTAGGAATTATAGTAAAAAAAATACGCATTTTGATGGGAAGATGAACATTTCACCAATGCCATATTCATCATTCATTTCAGAATCTTCCAACATTAATACCAAATTCACACTAGTTCTAATGTGTGTGTTTTGACAAAGTACTGGCTTTCTCCTCTGTGTTATTGTAGGCTTGACTAAGTCAATTTGTCTCAAAATGATTATCAGTGTTTATTATGAGACTAAAATGTCCAAATGGTCCCTTACATTTGGGCCTACTTGAATTTACGTTCCTTACATTAACATTTCAATATCGTAGTCCCAAACATTATGTTTTCACACTTTTTTGGTCCCATTTCACTGTTTCCGGCCGTTGACTTGCCGAAATTAGGGGTATTTTTGTCTTTTAATTTAATTTATATTTTTATTAAAATTTAAATCATTTAAAATATTTTAAAATTCAAATTTCATTATTTAATTGTTAAAATATTATTTATTAATTAAAAATATTATTGTACAATTTAATAATTTATCATTATTTTCAAAATTATTTTTTTATTTACTATTTACTTTAAGTACACAGTAAATAATAATTATGCTGCACTTTTAACTTTGAACCCACTGTAACTTAAAAAATTAACCAAGTTACAGTAAATAATTCAAAATTCAATTATTCTTTTAAAAAAAAAAAAATAAAAAGCAAAACTAAGATTTTTTTTACTCTTACCGCTACAGCAAATCCTAAATGGTAATTATGTTACACTTTTAACCTTGTACCCACTGTAACTTAAAAAATATACCGAGTTACAGTAAATAATTCAATTTTTTTTTTTAAAAAAAAAACAAAACCAAGATTTTTTTTACTTTGACCGCTACAGTAAACCCTAAATAGTAATTATAATACACTTTTAACCATAGATTCACTGTGACTTAAAAAATTTACCGAGTTACAGTAAATAATTCAAAATTCAATTTTTTTTTTAGAAAAAAGGCAAAACCACGATTTTTTTTACTCTGACCGCTATAGTAAACCTTAAATGGTAATTATGTTACACTTTTAACTTGAGACCTACTGTAACTTAAAAAAATTTACCGAGTTACAGTAAATAATTTAAAATTCAATTTTTTTCTCCAAAAAAAAAAAAAAAACCAAGATTTTTTTTACTCTGACTGCTACATTGCTTTTTTAACGTTGGACCTACAATAACTTAAAAAACTTATCGAGTTACAGTAAATAGTTCAAAATTTAATTTTTTTTTAAAAAAAGAAAAAAGCAAAACAAAGTAATTGACCGCTACAGTAAACCCTTATGTTGCACTTTTAACCTTGGACCCAATGTAACTTAAAAAATTTGACGAGTTACAGTAAATAATTTAAAATTCAACTGTAGCAGTCAAAGTAAAAAAAAAATCTTGGTTTTGCTTTTTTTTTTTTAAATGACTTTTAAATTATTTATGTAATTCGGTAAATTTTTTAAGTTATAATGGGTCCAAGGTTAAAAGTGCAACATAATTACCATTTAGGGTTTACTATAGCGGTCAGAGTAAAAAAAATGGTTTGGCTTTTTCTTTTTTTTTTTTAAAAGAAATTAGATTTTGAATTATTTACTGTAACTCGGTAAATTTTTTAAGTTGCAGTGGGTCCAAGGTTAAAAGTGCAACATAATTACTATTTACTTTGACCTAAGATAAATGATAAACGAAAAAATTAATTTTAAAAATAATGTAAATTTTAAAATTTTATAAAAATATTTTTAATTAATAAATAATATTTTAACAATTAAATAATAAAATCTGAATTTTAAAATATTTTTAATGATTTAAATTTATATTAAAATTTAAATTAAATTAAAAGACAAAAATACCCCTAATTCCGGCATGTCAATAGGCGGAAATAGTGAAATGAGACCAAAAAAGTGTGAAAACATAATGTTTGGGACTACGATATTGAAATGTTAATGTAAGGAATGTAAATTCAAGTAGGCCTAAATGTAAGGGATCATTTGGATATTTTAGTCTTATTATGACGAGAACGTAAACTATGTTTGACATTGGAATAATGTTTCTTACACACACAACCCCCCAATACGTAACTTCTTGCATATTGCGTCTGAATCAATTCTGACATCTTTTTACGGCAATACGGAATGTGGCATTCTTGAAACAGTGCAATATATGTTACCTTAATCTGATTATTATACCCTCCTTGTTTTCATTAGGCAGCTTAATGAATTTTGATAAAGTGGAAGTTTATGTTGTCTGATTTGAATGTCATTGATGGGTTGATTCACCTAATTATTTCCTTCATCCCAACAAAGAGTCGTGTTCGTCTTATTTTATTATTTTTCGGGATAGAGTGAATATAATAAAAAGAGTAATTATTTTTTGAATGGAGCAAATATATGCTCTTTATTATTTATTATTAGACTCTTGCTCGCTTTGTTAATTCACCATTCTTTGCTTTCCATCTATTGCATTCAGGCAATTTGTATATTGATAGGTTGTTCTTATCCTTGGTTTTAAGAAAAATGTTCTAATTATATTAGTTTTAAGAAAACTAGCTATACAGTTGATGAACTGTCTTTTCTTCGAAAGCTATGTCACAAACTAGCAATCAATAATTCAGATTGGCGCAGACCATTTGAACATCTGAAGTCTTGATCAAATGGTTCTACAAGTTTAGTAGTACTATCTTAACAAGTCATTACAACTAATAGTTTTTTAAAATAAAAATACTTTCTCGTCAAAAAAATAAAAATAAAAATGTAAACTTTGTTAAAATAAAATAGTACTATAACCGTGCAATTACAAACAAATTAATACACGAATCAATACATGTAGTTAAGTTATTTAGTTAAAACAGTTGGGGGGTGAAATTGAGGGAAAACATACATTCAGTTTTGTTTAATAGCGGAATTGAAAATGAGAAATAAATGAAAAGAAAAAAGGAAAGAAAGTAAAAATGTGTCTGATAAATACGATTGAAAGGAGTAATAATAATTTATTAAATCAAGTTTAGATCGAAATTCAGAAATAGCAGGAAATAAATTCCTTGACATTTCTGAAAAGTGAAGGAAGGATTACCCTTTGAGGTGATCATATAAGGTTCAGTAATGAATTTATTATTGTTGCCGATGGAGACTTTAAAACGGTATGAGATCACTAAATAATTGAGAATAATAATCCACCATAATATGCTTTGAAAAAAAAAAAAAATTCTCCGTTAATTTTGGGACCCTCTTGCTTGCATGCTATATGTAGTGCGTTAAACCGACATTTTGAGACTTTGCGCGGGTAATTACAGTTAAAGTATCTCTTCCCAAAAAGAAACTATATGACCTTATTAATGGAAGTTATAACTTATAATATCTCTTTTCAACTTATCGTTTTAATGTCATCATCATCAAACCAAAATTAAAGACCTTAAAGAAAAAAAAAAAAAGAAATAGTTGGTGATGAAGATTATGGTTTTAATGTCATCATCCAAAGAAAATGTTAGTGATGAATATTGACGAAGCATGAATCTGCACCGACGTCTCCAGTTGATTGAACCGGCGGCCATGACAATATCAAAACTCTAAAATTTGTAAAAGAGGGTCTCGGGGTCTCCCGAAGATAGCCATTCCGATACTTAAGTCAGTAAGAGTAATTATTGTAAAGGTATGAATTATGATGCATAGATCGTACCTTTTATGTGAGGGATTGACCGCTATTTATAGAGATAGGATTACCTGTTTGTGAAACTCTTTTCTTGATAAGAAAATAATTAGCAACCACTCTAGAAGTTTCCAGGTGCCGGTTGAACCACTTGCCGAACTCGGGCTGGCTTAGTCGTGGGCCGTATAATTAGGACTGGTCAAATATGAAATGTGTAACGTGTACCACCAATAGACTTCAATATTCATCCCGCGTCGCTATAAATTAAAGCTACACAATGCCAACAAAATACGCTCAATTCATAGTTTTTCTCTTTGTGCAACTAGAAACAGGGGGGAAAAAAACCATGATGAAGATTTTTTGCTCAGCTTTAGCAATTGGATCAAAGGCTATTTTGGTTGCCATACTTTGTAAGTTTTCTTAGTTTCTCGATTTATTTATTTATTTATTTTTGGTTCTTCGTTTAGTTAGTAAGTGGTACGTAACAAATTTAATTTCTACTCTATGCATCCGAATTTTTAATTTAACCGATTAGACTATTTAAAGTGGGACAGAAAGAGTAATACTGATTACGGTTGGATACGTACGCAGGTGTTGTATTATTCGTAACCCCAACTGTGCCGTGCATTGACATACCACAACCGCTTGGGACGAACTGTACCCGAGATAGTGATTGTTGTCTTTATGATCATGGAAGAAGGTGTGACCTCAATTTCGAAACATGTTGCGTCGGCGAAAACTCCTGCAAATGGGGTTCCGATTGCTGTTCTTATCCGACCCTCACCGGCGGCGTAAAAAAAGCGACGTGTAAGGGCGGAAGGTGTTGTCGTTTTCATGGTTCAAAGTGTGAATCCAGCGCCGATTGCTGCGCCGAACACTCAAACTCAGTATGTTATGGAGGTTACTGTGAGCCTTTAGCACCACGGAAGCTCCCTGGTGGTGGTGATTAATGACATATACTCCATCTTAATGTACTTCCTCTGTGTGTGTGGCAGTTTTTGCATGAAAAATATTGCCCAATAATATACAGAAAATCTACAAGTTCTATAGAAAACTGGAATATATCTTGAGTAATACTCGCTCCCTTCAAGAAAAATAATTTATTTTGTTGAATTAGAGAAAGTAGTTCGGAGGAAATAGTTTGTCTGAATTTGTTTAGTTTGAATAAGTTTGTGTTTTTGTTTATGTTTGTTCGTTTTTATTTTTTTTTCCCCCCGAATGATGCATGTATAAGGAGCAGCTTTCATTGATTGATTGAAGATGAATAGAAGCTTGAATGTAATTTTTTTTTTGTTTTCTTTGGTACAATCAAGAAGGTTGAAGTCTAACAGAAATTAAATTAAAATATTTCACTGGTAAAAGACACACCAACTCATTGCTATTGATTGAACTTATTTAATTTCCATCCATTCACCCAAAAGAATCATACCATAGTTACTTTGATATTCAAGAAGACCGGTATTAAATTGAATCGGGAATAAACGACTAAACATTAATGGCTCCAGTTCAAATAGTACTACAAAGAGTACTACAAAGAAAATGAAAATAACGGCTAAGTTTAGTATCTCTCTCATTCAGCTCTTCTTGGATGGAGGTGTTCTACATAATTTTTGGTGCAGTTGCACGGGCTTACATAATTCTTGTTAGGATTTTGTTTTTTAGGGTCAGTATTGTTAGTATTGTTTATTACACTCATGTGTAGTAGTTTTGTAATTTAGGTCTTTCGGCCTCTTTCATTGTACCAAAAAACAAAATAAAAAATAAAAAAAGGAGGGAGAAAGTAATTAATTGGCATGAGATGAGATGAGAGAATATTTAGTTGGCCTCATTTAAGGGAAATTTTGAAAAAAAAATAGTAAAGTTTTGTTTTGGATGTTAAAAAGTGTTTTGACAGACTCTCAAAACCTCTAGTTTTTCATAATAGTACCCAGTCAGCACTTAAACTTACTTCCATTTCACAAATTGAACTTCATATTCCATTTATCTTTATTTTCTACGCTTTGTAACAATTTTTCTTTTTCTTCTTGAAAACCTGCAATAAGGAAAAAAACACACACTCACACACACAACAACTGGAGCGTTTTATTTACTAGTTTTCACTTCATCATTAAAAAGTTCGAAAATTATGATTTGATGAATCCAACTCCTTCCCACTCTTTAATTACTTTTAGTTATTTGTCTCAACAAAACTGCACGTCTGCACCACCACATAACTAAGATGCAGCGGATTTACATTGTTGCATGTGCAACTAAAATAAGTCTAAACTTTCAAATAAAATCTCTTTATAGATTTTCTTTTTCCAAAAGTTTTAACTTATTTTAGTTGCACAATCGCTCCAGTCCGTGTAAAATCAAATTACCGACGATCACCGGCTAAGGGCGAAACAACATAAATTCCTAGTACCGTTACCATCTTCCAAGCATACTAAATAAAATCATCATTTATATTTCATGAAAAATGATATATATAGTAAATAAAAATAGTGACAAAACATAGTTACTGATGTGGATTAATCACGATCCCTAAATTTTTGTCATTTTTCCGTTGAAGTTGTATTTTTTTTTTAAAATTTACATTTTTACCCTTGATTAATAATTAGACATGTTTAATAAATGTGTGGTGTATTTTGTCTTTTATTTGTCACTATCCAAATTCACTTCAATTTTTCACTATCTGTATCATTTTTCATATTTCATATATCTCCGATCACTTCCAGCCTCAATCGGATAAAACATTAAATTTCTATCAAATGAAATTCAGATCCGTAGACTCTACTCTTTTTCTTCCCTACTATACAGCACCAAAATCCTCTGTTGTCTCTATATCCCCAAAACTGAATCATGCCGCCGCTATCTCCCTTGCCTCGCCTAATCAAAATTTCCGATATCTGGAACATCAAGAGTCAAGAGCGACATGGATTATGCAATAGGTGTATTCTGGTATCAATTTTATTTTCTTTAGTTTGAGTGTTTACTTTATTATTAATAATGGATCGATGCATACAACGTCATTAGACAAATGGTGGGATGCTCATGATGAACACAAAAATGGCGGACAAGAATGTTTCCGACAACAGGCAGACGAGAAAAGGCACCAATAGCAGTGTTTCAGACGTGTTTTGTCTTGGATTTTTGCTTTTATTACCCTATTATTAATAATGGTATTTTCTCCCATCTTAATTATTTATAGATTCTTGATATGCTTGAATTTGTTCCTAAATTTTGAATGAATTAACTAGTTGTATTGGTAACTTTACCATTACATATAATTATCGGGAATCACATTATGTAAATTTTCTAGTTACATTTTGATGAAGATGGATGATACATGCTAGCCTAGGCAGTACATGATGAATTCACTAAGAATATCCTCTCTTTTTTTTTTAATTTATTATTCAATTTTAGTTGTTGACCGTTCTATTTATAAATGCCGAATAGAGGTTTCACAATTCATAATTGTTGAGAGCTCGCAACTCTGTGTGCAGACATGTAAGTATCTATGTATTTTTTTGGGATAAGATATACATTCATCCGGTTCAAAATATGATTTCAAATTCTATACCCAAATCTAATTTAAAATCACTTTTCCCGGTAGTCTTTTAGGGCATGTATTAGCTTGAATTTAGGAGATGATAACCATGAGTAAACTAGATTTGGGTTTACTTGCAACTTGCAAGTCCATTTTGAAGTGGAAAAAATGGCTTGGTGAACACCGTATAAATGCAACCAAACTGCAGAGGTCTCCCGAAGTTAACCGTTGTTGAAATGGCAAAATCTTGGGACTCTAAACTAGAGTTGTCTGCATGGGAAGTAATAAAGGTGCTTGTTTATGGTGCAAGTACTGCAACAAGGGTAAAAGTTGAGTTCTTCTTAATCAAATTATGCACAATTTTAAAGCATATGGGTGGTGATTTTGGAGCATGTGGTATTGAGAATAAGCAATTTCAATGAGGCAATACTAGGGTTTATTTATCATTTCTCTCAAATCTCAATAGTGGAGGCACTTGGATGGAATCATCCTAAGTGCACTGTCAACCAAACTTTTGTTTCATAGTAGTTGTAGTCCGCAAAATTTGAATAGAAATTTGCGCGAAATATTATTTTTTGCATTGAGATTTTGCTCAATTTAATGACCTTGCTTTATAGTAATCACTAAATTTACCATGCTAGCCTAGAATAAACTGTGAAATGTATCCACCAACAATTTTGGAAGTATCCAAAGCAAAAACCAAATGAAGTGCTTCTCATTTTTATTAATTTTAAATTTATAGTAAAACCTTGTGATTTAATTTAAGGAAACATATGTGCCCATCACAATTTTAGTCTTACATTTTATATTATCCCATCTTGTGTCATTTCCTTGTGATCACAAGTTTATGGCTTAGGTTTATTTTATATAGTTTTTATTGTGTATACTTCCATTTCATCCATGTTATCTATTTTACATGTCAAAGGTGTTTACTCAAAAACCAAAAAACATTAATACAAACTAGCTCTTCTTTTGTCGCCTTACGCGCGACTAGTTCTTATTTTGATTTGAAAAGAAATAAATAACCAAATAGTGTGAAGAAATAACTGCCCAGATAGATAGCCTATGGAACAAAGTAATTAATCAAAAAACCAAGCTATATAAATGCACTCCAAATTACACAGATAACAAATATTCGATCTCGGGTGTAGAAACAAAAATACGAATTGTTCTTTCAAAATCTAAGAAGAGTTGTTCTTTAAAAATCTAATAAAGAGATATACAAACAAATACACATACGCACAAGTTGGACAATAGTGAAACCAATAGCACGAAGTACACCCATATTAGGTTTTTTTTTTTTTTTCATGTTTTACAAAAATAATAAATTAACATACTGTCAAGCACAAATTCGAAAGATTACAAGTTTAGGAGATAACAGGGAGGAAAATCATAGAAATACCTTTTGCTTAATAATAGGTGATTCGAGCTGGAATCTCTTGAGGATTAATTTCAAGAATATGCTGACTTTAGGTTTCAGAGACGGGGCAAGGAAGCGGGGAAGAAGAAAAAGATTCAGCAACAGTTGAAATCCTCTAAACATAAATCTCTGCCGCCACTCCAATCCAAAATCTTTTATAATCTTCTATAATCTTCAAAAAAAAAAAAAAAAACTTCTATAATCTCTCTTTTCTTATTGTGACCGTCACTCTTGAATTGCTCTCGTATCCATCATACAAACATCTCAGCCCAAGCCACATTGTTTCTACTCCGTCTATCAAAAGCTGGTGAGAAGAGCAAAACAAAGGCTTTAGGGTGAGGCTCTGCTTCCTCCCTCGATCGTGTAAATCTGGTACTCCTTTCGTCCCATAATTATTGTCGAGTTTGGATTTTCATTTTTAGTTTAAATTGTATTAAAAATTAAATCTCAAAGTAGATAATAATTTTGGGACAGAAAGAGTACTAAAAGCAAAAATATTTTAATAATTATGTCTCAAACGACGTCGTTGTTTTGGACGCCTCGTTGATAAAAAAAAAAAAAAAAAACCAGTCGGTTTTATTAATTGATAATTATAAGTCTATTTTGAGCCAATTATTAATTGACCATTATAGTCCTGTTTTTAATTACTGATGTCATGTTAATATATTAACCAATCAACGGTCTCAATTTAAAATTGATGATGTCATGTGAACTAATGGGCCAATCAGATTACTCAATTTAATTTCTGACCAATCACGTTCAAGATTCTAAAACTCACTAAAAGACATTTATGTATAGATAAATTTATTAGATTTTAGGAGTGCTCATCATGTTCATTCTTTTATACACATATTTTAAATAATTTTAAATTTAAATTTATCTGTCCTGCACCATGTTTGGGTTTAACATCTAGTTTATTGTAAATGTCATTGCAAAACTTTGTTAAAGTATTTCTGTTGATCCACTTTCTTTAAGTTCCATCTATTCACACAACAGATGGTATTAGTTCGGTTATATTTCCAGTTATACGGTTTATGAATTGTCATTTTCTTCGAAAGAGATATCACAAATAAAATAATGCTAATTAATAGAAACAATAATGGAATGAGAACTGCAAGAAAATAATTTTTCCAGCCAACTTACAATCGTCTCAACTGACTTAAGGAATTTTAAAATATGACTGAAAGAGAAAAGGCTACTATAAACATATGATAATTATTTTTGAAGTCTCATTTGTTTCGACAAGAATAACCGGTGTTTGGAGAGCGTTGGTATTTTGAATCTGTTACGATACATGTATATATATTTGTATAGGGTTAGTTTCGTCCTTTGTACGTACTAGGGTTTCTACCGTAGACCCTAAATGATGTGTATATATAGTCCCTCTGTGGACTGATCAATACAGTATCATGTTTTATGCCGGCCATTTAGTTTGTGTCATGGTATCAGGCTAGGTTTTCTTTGTGGCCGCACCTCCAAATTTTTTTTTTCTCTGCCGCCGAATTTTTTTTTTGTGTGGCCGCATCTCTGTGCACCTTTGTGTGATTGTGCACCTTTGCTGTCGTTGTTGTGTGCTTGTGCTGCAACTGCCGTCCGTGCAGTCTTGTTGTCCTGCTGTCTTGCTGTTCTTGCTGTCGGTGGTTTTTTCATCGGCCATCCGTGCTGTAACTGCATCGTCCGTCGCTTGCTGTTCTTGACTGTGTGATTGTGCTGCAACTCTTCCTTCATTGCCGTTGCTCGACTCCTGCTATTGCATCGTCGGCCAGCCATCCGGCTCCTTTCTTTGCCTCTCTGCTCGCCGTCCGGTGTCAGGCTTGTGCTTGCGGCTGTCCTCAGCTGCCGCCGGTTTCTGATCAATTTTTTTTTTCTCTGCCGCTGGTTTCTGTTTTTTTTCTGTCAGTTTCTGATTGGCGTTCCTTCTTCTTCTTTTTTTTCCTGATCAACAAAAAACAAAAAAAAAAAATAAAAAAAACCTCGCCGTCTTTGCCTCATGGCGCACGGTGCTGAAGAATCCAGTACTCCATCTCCCACCCTTCTTTCCGCTGGTACTGCTGCTCTGCTGCCAGTTCCCGATATTCCGAAACATCATACGATTACTCCGTACGACCTTACTGCCGGTGTCAATCCAGGTACGCCGATCACTTTTTAGGTTATGTTGAAGACTGATAATTATGATGAATGGTGCTGTGCTGTTCGTACTGCCTTGCGAGTGCGTAAGAAATTTGGTTTTGTTGATGGCTCGCTTCCTTAACCGCCGGCGACGTCACCCGATTTTGAGGATTGGTGGACAAACCAATCTTTGATTGTTTCCTGGCTGCGTAATTCCATCGAGCCATCCGTTCGTTCCACAGTTCCTCACCGCGAAGTTGCTTCGGTTCTCTGGACGGATCTGCGTGAACACTTCGGCGTTGTGAATGGTCCCCGGATTCAGTAGCTCAAGACCGATCTAGCAAATTGTAAGCAGAAGGGTTTTAGCATGTCGGCTTATTACGGTTGGCTTCAGCTGCTGTGGGAGGATTTAGCCAACTACGAACCACTGCAGTCCTGTTCTTGTGGTTCTCCCGCCGTCCTTGCAGAATCGGAACGGAGCTGGGAATCTGAGGAGCTGCATCAATTATTCATGGGACTGGATGCCTCCCTGTATGGCACGCTTCGGTCGAGTTTGCTCTCTCAAGACCCACTGCCCACTGTCAATCGTGCCTATTCGTTGCTTGTCCAGGAAGAGCGGCTGCGGTCCATCTCCAATGGACTGATGAAGTTGCAGCCGATGCTCTGAGTTTCGCGGTTCAAGCTCCACGGTCTGCCCAGCTTCCCACTCCACCGTCCAGCTGGTTTACTTCTTGATCTCGGTCTGACTCCAAACCAATTGAGTCGAAAGCCAAGTTGATAATTTGCACTCACTGCTCCAAACCGGGTCATGACGTTTCCAGTTGTTTTGATTTTATCGGATATCTCGATTGGAGGCCTAACTCTCGCCGGGATTCAAGTGGTTCGGCTGGCCGTGGTTCGGTTGGTCGTGGTGGGTCCTCTGGTCGTGGGCGTGGTGCTGGTTTGGGTCGTGGTTCGGGTAGCTCTGTTGGTCGAGCTAACGCTACTATTGTACCCGGTTCACAGTTTGCTGGCTCTGTGGTGACTGATTCGGATAAAAGTGCAGTTACTGGTATTTCTCCGGATCAATGGCAGACTTTAATCTCCATGATTGATACTCATCACAAGTCGAGTAATACACTCTCTGGTAAGCCTTATTCTCATGAATGGACGTTTGATTGTGGGGCTTCACATCATATGACGGGTTTTTTGGCTTTCTTGATGGATTTGAGGGCTATTTCTTCTCGTCCAGTTCAGTTACCTGATGGTTCTATGACTTATGCGTCGTAGTCGGGTGTTGTTCATTTGAGCCATTCTGTCACGTTGCACAATGTCCTTTATGTTCCGGCTTTGAAGTGCATTTTGATTTCTCTATATCATTTATTAGAGGACTCTCATTCTGTTGCACAGTTTACTAATAAATTTTGTGTTGTTCAGGACCATACATCGAGGACTCTGGTTGGCGCGGGTGAACAGTTGGGGGGTCTCTACTTCTTTCGTGGCTTGTCTCTTGCTCGGACTTCTCATGTTGTTTCCCCGATTTCATGACATCAGCGGTTAGGGCACCCTTCTGTGAAGGTTTTAAAGCAGTTGTCTCTTTTTGATTCTAGTAGTCCTGTTTTGAATAAATTTTGTGACATTTGTTTTCGAGCTAAACAATCTCGTGAATCTTTTCCCATTAGTACTTCTAAAATTGTTGCACTTTTCTCTTTAATTCATTGTGATTTGTGGGGACCTTATCGTACTCCTACTTTTAGAGGTGCTCCTTATTTTTGGACCATCGTTGATGATTTTTCTCATGCTACTTGGTTATATCTTCTTGATGATAAGACATCTGTGCCTATTAAGTTATGTGTGTTTTTTGACATGATTCACAATCAATTTGGGAAATCTGTCAAAATTGTTCGTAGTGATAATGGTTCCGAGTTCTTGTGTCTGGGTTCCTATTTTCGTCAAAAAGGAATTTTGCATGAAACTTCCTGTGTTGGTACCCCACAACAAAACGGTCGCGTCGAACGTAAACACCAACACATTCTTAATGTCGCTTGTGCCTTACTTTTTTAAGCTAATCTTCCTATTCTTTTTTGGGATAATTGTGTCTTGACTGCTGCGTACTTAATCAATCGCACTCCCTCTTCCGCTTTAAATGGAAAGACTCCTTTTGAAATTTTGTATGGTAAACCTCCTTCTCTTCACCACTTGTGTGTTATCAGGTGCCTTTGTTATATGCATAATCTTTCTCGCGGGGGTGATAAATTCACTCCCCGTGGTCGCAAGTGTGTTTTTGTGGGTTATCCATTTGGCAAAAAGGCCTGGTTGGTTTATGATCTTGAATTACGTAAGTTTTTTGTTTCTCGAGATGTTGTTTTTTGTGAGACTGAATTTCCTTTTGCCAGTTCTTCTTCAGTTTTATCAGACTCTCCTTCTCCTCCGGTTCCTAGTTTCTCTCCTTTTTTGGATGACGATAATTTACCTCCTTCTGAACCGGTTTCTGTTGCCCCCCCAGTTTCTCCCTCTTTGCCTGCATCCCCTCCCCTTTCAACTCCAGCTTCTCCAATCTCATCCCCTTTCTCTGAGGGGTCACCCACTTTGTTTTCCACACCCGAGTCTTCTTCTGCGTCTCCTGAACTATTGGCTCGTGGTCATCGTACTAAATTTTCTTCTACTCGTCTTCATGGTTTCGCTCGCCATCTTAAATCTCCCTCCGCTGCTCACTCACCTGCTCAGTCCTCAGGTACTCCTTATCCTATAACACATTTTGTCAACTGTGCTTCTTTTTCACCCCAACATCAAGCTTTCTTGGCAGCCATTACTGCAGTCGTTGAGCTCGGTCCTTTCGTGAGGCCATGCAGGATGCAAAATGGCATTCTGCCATGCATGATGAGATACGCGCTTTGGAGAAAAATTGCACCTGGGAAGTTACTTCCCTTCCTCCTGGCAAGCGCGCCATTGGTTGTAAGTGGGTGTTTAAGATAAAATATAATGTTGACGGTTCTGTTGAGCGCTATAAGGCTCGTCTGGTTATCCTTGGTAATAATCAGGTTGAAGGCATTGACTACAAGGAGACTTTTGCGCCTGTTGCCAAAATGGTCATTGTTCATACCTTTCTGGCTGTTGCTGCCACCAAAAAATGGGAGCTTCACCAGATGGATGTCCATAACGCCTTTCTTCATGGTGATCTACATGATGAGGTTTATATGAAATTTCCTCCTGGTTTTCGCTCCGGCATTCTGGTCAGGTGTGTCGGCTTTGTTGGTCTCTGTATGGTCTTAAACAGGCTCCTCGTTGCTGGTTTGCTAAGCTTGCCCAGGCTTTAAAGCCGTATGGTTTTGTGCAATCTTCCGCTGACTACTCTTTGTTTACCCTTCATTGCAGTTGTATTTCTCTTAGTCTGTTGGTATATGTTGATGATCTTGTTTTGACTGGTAATGATCATGTTGCTATTACTGCTTTTAAACAGTATTTAAGTACTTGTTTTCACATGAAGGATCTTGGCCCTCTTAAGTACTTCTTGGGTATTGAGGTTTCCCGTAATGCGTCTGGCATATTTTTATGTCAACGAAAATATGATTTGGATATCCTCTCGGAAGTTGGTCTTTTGGGTGCGAAACCTGTTACTTTTTCCATGGACCAGAATCATCATCTTCCTCTGGCTAAGGGTTCTCCACTCTCTGATCCTGAGCCGTATCGTCATCTGGTTGGTCGGTTGATCTATCTTGCTGTCACCCGTCTTGATATCTCTTACTCGGTTCATATGTTGGCTCAATTCCTGCAAGCTCCACAGCAGGCTCACTGGGAGGCTGCTCTCCGGGTTTTTCGTTATTTGAAACTGCATCCAGGTCAGGGTATTTTGCTTCGTGCAGATTGTGGCCTCCAGCTCTATGGCTAGTGTGATTCTGATTGGGCTAGTTGTCCTCTGTCTCGGCGTTCTCTCACTGGCTGGTTTATTACTCTTGGTGCTTCTCCTATTTCTTGGCGAACTAAGAAGCAGCAAGTTGTCTCTCGTTCGTCTCCTGAGGCTAAATATCGTGGTATGGCTAATACTGTCTGTGAGTTGAAGTGGTTGAAGGCTTTGTTACTGAGCATGGGTGTTCGACATTCTCAGTCTATGCGCCTTCATTGTGATAGTCAGTCTGCGCTTCATCTTGTTGCTAATCCGGTTTTCCATGAGTGTACTAAGCACATCAAGGTTGATTGTCATTTTTTGCGTGATGCGTTTATTCAGGGGGTCATTTCACCTACTTATGTTCCCATTAAAAAAGAACAAATAGTTTGTGTCAGAATTCTCATTAAAAAAGAACAAATAGTTTTCTCATTCTATTTATGAAGTATATATTGCTATCAAAAACAAAAAAGAAGAAGTATATATTGGAAATTTGGAATACTTTAAATAATTTATGACGTAAAGAGTAAATAATCTTGTTCAAATTAATTAAGGAGCATTTACTCCATCAAGGGCTTATTTTCCGAAAAGTTAGATACAAATAGGATCTTCACTGGTAGGATCTTCAATAGTTGGACCATTTCCAGCAATTTTGTAGCACTTGACATGTTGGAGTTGGCAATTTATACACATAGTGAACTTGTTTTAGGAATTATAATACACACACATAAAAAGTGAGTAACTTTTTTTCTTTTCTATAAAAAATAAACTCACATGCACGATATGAGTGCCAATTTTT